TAGCACTTCCACCTGCCCATGGTCTTTTGCCGATGAGATTGCGAAGGCCGTGGCCCAGAGAGTTGCACAGGCCTTGTAGAGATGAAAGTCCTATGATAGAATCATACTATAGGGTTTCATTATAAGTACAGCGTCACAAGAATAATATGCTAGGCTATGCTATACTAGACTGCCCTATACAGCGCGACAAGCGTAAGCTCCTGGATGCTTCTCCATACCTTCAAAGGGTTCCGTTAAACGTGTCCTATAAGGGTTACTCTAAGTTAATCAGGGTACTATAACATAGGCCTCATCAATCAATGTGGGAACCTGGTCAAGCAACCCTGGGCCTATAACCCCCAAAATAGTGGGATTCGTATAAGGAGCCCTATAATAAAGGCCCCAGGTTTCTGAATCAGGTTCCTACATTAAAGTAGTGCCCTTATGGATCCCTTATGTAACCCTTATAGACCCCTGGAAAGGAACCCGAATAAAGGCCCAAGGTTTCTGAATCAGGTTCCTACATTATCGTCCTTCAGGAGCTGCTCCGCAAAGTTTGGGGAACTCCGGAAGCCTCGGCTGCCGACCCCTGCCTCGCGAGTCAGAGCCGCAGCTGCCTGCGAGCGGCTCGAAGGGCAATACATAAAGATACGCAGAGAGTAGAGAGAGAGAGAGAGAGAGTGAGATAGAGAGAGAGAGATAGAGAGAGAGAGAGAGTGAGAGAGAGAGAGAGAGAGGGAGAGATAGAGTAGCCATTTTGGCTCAGGCCGTGAGTGGTTCAAGGCCGGGCCCCGAGACAGAAGAGGGCCTACAAACCCGGGCCGCTTGAGGGAAAGCCACAAAGGGGGAGTGTCCTGTTCCCGAGTGCGATATCCGTCGAGGGCACGATCGGAATACTACGCGAGTACTTGCCCACCGCCGACGGCCGCGACATCGTCGCGAACGGTCCACGAGGTGAACCGCTGCCCAGGCGTGCGGGGGACCTTGTCTACCACTACCGGTACGGCTTGGCGACCCTACAGGGGGACTACCACACCGGAGCGATCCTCCGCAAGACCATCGGGTCCTAAAGTACTTCGGGGGCGCGTTTGCTGCCCTACTTGCAGCTCAGCGACCTCGCAAACTACCTGGGGGGAGGCGCCATGGCCAACGCACAGGGCAGCGAAATGCCGGTGGACCAGGCCGGCAACTCGCCTACCAAACGCAGAGCAGCAGACCAGGGGGAGGGCCTTGCCTCCCATTTGGATGTTATCCGCGAAGCCATTCGGGGAGAATTGAAAGATGCTCTTTCCGAGGTCAAGCAGGACATTCGGGGGTTTGCAGCCAGAGTCGACAACGTGGAAAGCCAGGTGACGCGGAAGATGTAGCAAACGATAAACCTCCTGGACGATATGACCCAAAAGTATACTCACCAGGGGGACACCTTGCAACAGCTGCAGGAGGCGAACAAAGAGGTCAACCTCAGGCTGGAGCGGCTTGAAAAGGGCGGGGGATCGTCGACAGCGGGCAGCACAATTGCCCCGTCCGACAGTGCCCGCAAGCCTGCACTTATCATCGGGGGATGGGACCCGGATGCCCCGGCCGCCGACACCAAAGATGCAGTCCTCGATGTGCTCAAGTCGGTGGAGGCGCCCATCGATACAACCACGCTCTTCGTGCCGGGGGTCCGGCGCGGCTACGCCATCTTACCCATCGACGAGCCTATGGGGGAGACCTTTGAGCAGCGCCGAACCCGGGTCCAAGAGGTCATCTCTAAAGTTCGGGGAGCCAACATCCAGTTGGGGAGCAGATCCGATGGCACCCCCAAGCGCGTCTGGATTGCGATGTCCCAGCCGCCAGACAGGAGACGCCGGGCGAGACTTGCAGCAAAAGTGAAGCGCTTGTACCTCACGTTGGGGGGAGATAAAGGAGCGCTTCAAATGGAGTTCAGCACTGGCAGCGCATGGGTCAACAGCGTAAAGGTATGTTCAGCAACAGCGCCACGGCCAGGGGGGACAGAAGAGGCTGGACCAGGCTGGGTGGACATTGCCGCGATCGCTAAGTCAACTCGCACCACCAAGGAAGCCACCGCTGCCACATGGTCTCCGCTTAAGGCGGAGATCAACTGAGCCATGGACGAGCCGACAACGTTTCACCCCCAGGCCGAGGGGGGAAAGATGCCCGGCCAAACTTGGGCAATGGCGTGGAATGTCGGGGGGTTGACAGCAGACAACTTGCTGAAACTCCTGGACACTTTCGACGGCAGCCCGGACCTGAACTGCGTTACACTTGTCCTGGTGCAGGAAATTATCTGCGACCCAGGCCTCTTTCATTCAGAGTCGGATACATGGCAGCTAGTGTACGGTAAGTGCATCGGGGAATTCCGAGGGGAGTGCATCGCACACCAGACCAAGCATTACACACACCACCGAAGCCAAGTCTGCACCGGGGGGGTGACAACCACACTGCAGAGCCTCACAAACAAGAACACAGTTCGAGCACATGCGGGACACATCCCGCACCACGCGACCATCCCACAGACTGAAAGCATACTTGCCGAATGGGAAAGCAACCTGGGGGACCAGCCGCGCTGCCTCCTGGGCTTACACGCCAACGAGACCTTCACCCCACCACTCACCCACGTGTCAGGATGCTATGCCACCTCAGGACGGGGGGAGGCCATCTTGGACTGGACCAACCGCCACGGCTTCACACTACCCCCACAACAGCTCCACGTCCCCAGCTACTACCCCTAAAAACCACAGCATGCAACCGCGCAGACTGGACTACATCCTGGTTCGGGGGATCACGGCGGGCGCTGGGAAAGTCGTCCCCTGCCGTGATAGAGCATCGTCCGACCACGACGGCGTGGCAGCGCCCATTGGGGCACATAAAGGGGGAGGCTCCACCCGCACCACGTGGGGACCCAGACGGCTGCGCCCGCCCCACCAAGTAGAGCAACTGCTTGCGATCCCGCCCCCCAGGGGAGAAGACCCGCACAAAGTCCTCGCCACGCTCGCCAAAGCAATTACCACTCCCGGCAGCGGACACAACAAATTCCAGGAGAGCCACGAGCTTCGGGGGATGCGACAGGCAGCCCAGCAGTGCCGGCCCGGCCCCGCAGCCAGACTGGCGTGGAAGGCCGTTGCAAAACGCCACAAACAGGAGCACCGAGCATGGAACACCAAGCAAGCCGAACAGGCTTCACAACTCGACTGGCGCTCCCTTCGTACCCTCCAGAAAGCCAGGACACACCGAGGATGGCAACTGCACCTCCAGGACAACCCAGACTGGCAGACCCAACTGCATAAACATATGCGGTCCATCTTTGCCAAACCCCTGCCCCCCGGGGGAAATGCGCGCATTGCAACACTGCGGGACCAACTGCGCCGCAAATGCAAGCTCACTCCATGGCGGCCTTTTATGGAAAGCATGGCCCTTACTGAGGACCGAAATGGGGGAACATGCAATCTACCATATTGTCTCTTCACCCTCACTTCGGAACTCAGAGGGGACATGCCCTCCAGGTAACATAGTTGAGCCAACCACAGCTAGCCGGGGAGTTCAACTTGACACATCGTTGTTGCTGTTGCTTTGCTTTGTTTCAGACCCACAGCTAGCAAGGTTGGTCCGGGCCTCAGTTTCCGCAGGTTTGCACTAGTGTAGCGGGGGGTACGTGATGTAGCGGTTGCTTCTAAACGAACTGCGGCACAAGTCGGGGGAAACCTCCCAAATCCTGTGATGCTTACAGCTGTTTAACACTTTACTTGTTTTCTGGGGGGACCCGTGGGCCGTTTTGTAAAGCCGAGCCTTGTGGAGGAATAACCTTCATCAGGACCCAAGAAACCCCGCGAAACGCGGGTGTGCGAGACCGCATGAAGGCAGAGCCCGGACGCTGCTCTGTCTTCACGCCCGGTAGAGAGAGAGAGAGAGAGATAGAGAGAGAGAGAGAGATAGAGAGAGAGAGAGAGAGAGTGAGAGAGAGAGAGAGAGACAGAGTGAGAGAGTGAGTGAGTGAGTGAGTGAGGCGTTGATATTGTTGCAGGCCAAGCGGTCTTCTATTTCTTCACTCTTCCTTCACCGGGGCTGTATGCCTAGTCTCCCTTGCTTCCAAAGACCCACCACTTCAAAAACGGGGTGCGCTGGAGGTCCCCCACGTGGGCTCCCCCTCCAACGTAGCGAATGAAAGAAAAAGACCAGATAAATAGATAGCTAGATAGGTGGATAGACGCACAGTCACATAGGTGAAGATATAGACGTGGTTAGACATATACATATACATACACATACACATACATATATATATATATGATTATATATGTGTGTGTGTACACACAAACAGATATGTACCTACAAAGCATATGCATAGTCTTCGCCGGTGTACACATGCTCATAGTGCGATCATCACAGAAAGCGCGATCAGACTAAGTCATAAGACTACTGACCATATGGGTAAGAAGAATGCCAATCGCGGCAACACACACACAACACGGAGAGAGAGATACATACAGATGTATATATATATATATATATACGCATATACATACATACATGCATGTGGATGAGAAGTCTGGAACGCGGATCGCCTAGCGGATCCACACTCCATGACAAACAAGGTGTTGTGGTTGAGTTGGACGTATGTCGACCGCATAAGCCCTAAACGGGCAGCCCTCGGGCGTGCAGGCCTGACTCTGACTCTCTGTCTCTCTCTCTCGCTCTCTCTGTCTCTTTCTGTGTTTAGATTTAAATATAGAGCTGTACATACGTGATGTTGTTTAAATTCTATTTGTCTGTAAACATGTATGCATATATATATATGTGTGTATATATGTATATGGGGAGTAAGAGCCACATATTGGAAGACGGGTGTAGGTACATGCAGCGAATGGACCGTCGGAGGTTGCATTTGACGGGGAGACACCAGGCATTTCCGCAGGAGGCTAGCATTAAGACTGAAGACGATGGCTTGGAAGATGTTGGAAGGAATGACAAGGAGGCTTTTGAAGCAAGTAGACTTCTCAAGTAGACTTAGAACCTCCCAGGTCCTCATTGTCCGCCGCGGATCCCTGGCACGCAGCCGGACTATCGTGAACCTGGACGATGCTTCGACGCTCTGAAGAGTGTTCAGGGCAGATCCGCACAGGGCTGTCCGGAAATGATGTAGCAAGCATATGTACCCTGCTCATGCTTGTTGGGCCAATTACAAATAAACAACAGAGGCCAAAGAGAGGCAGAATGTGGGATAGCTGGCCACGTCTGCAGCCTGTTGCGCAGAGCATCTCAGACGGCGTGAGGCACTGGGCTGAGACGAGCTTCGCAAACTCTGAAGCACTTGGGCTTGCAGCAGGAGGGCTGGGGTGGTATGCCAGTTCTATCACGTAGCTTCCCTGCTTAAAGCAACACTTGGCTCGCCACTTGCGTTTGGACACCGGTGCAAGACCGGGGTGTGTGGTTCTGAGGGTGTGCATGTAAGACATGCGTGTGCGCACGGAGCTGCAGTTGCATGTGTATTTTTGGTTTGGTCTGACAAATTGGTCCGACAGAAACATTACCGATGCCTCTTGGCCGCGAGCTAGACATAAATCCCATGAGAGAACGAAAGTCTGCATACTTTATGTCGTCTGTACATGGGCGCAGACAAGTTCGCATGTGAATGTGACTGTGTGCATGCGACGGTTCGCCAAACAGTAAAGTTTTCCACTGCTTCATGTGACACCGTCCTTCTGAGCTTTATGTGGGAGTTTCCGAAAATAGGGGACCCTTATTCTGGAGTCCTTATAACAAGGATCCTATTATTTAGGGTATTATATTAGGGTCCCCTATTTTCGGAAACTCCCATGTGGTGCCTGAGTATACAAGCTACCTCCGCTGTACACATCCTACCTCACCGTGCATCTTGTACACACTCAATCGCGTTGGTCAGGCCCTCCTCTTCTACGTTAATGATGCCAGGACGCTGCGTGAAGATGTGCAGGTACATTTCTTCTGTGTATCCACCCATACACATTGTGTCATAGAGAAAGTCAATAAAACGTACGCATATAGTGTGTATAATATTTACTCTATATATATACACATATGGAAGTCAAATTTGTTTCCGTTCGCACATGCATGCATAATACATGCGTACATACATCACGACAGCTGCCCCAAGGTCCCTCCAACCACCTGCAGAGCCAGTCTGAAGCTAACTCTCGCTCCTCCCTTTGTGCCTTTCTCTCTCACTCTCTTTGTCTTTTGCTTCTCTCTCCTGCTCTTGTTGCTGCACGCTTCGGTGCCTCCAGTCAAGGTCCGGATCGCAGTCGCGCAGATGGAGCAGTTCTCCATAGGCCTGGTGTGCAGAAGGGGTCCTCGTGGTACTATGGTATACAGGAGCTTGAAGGACCTCGCAGTTCCTGAGGGCCCCCAGCGCAAGCTTTGCAGACCAGATGATCTGGGAGGGAGCTGCTAAAGCTTCGATCCATTTTGGTAAAAGTCCCAGGCTGCGTCTTTGCCTGCGCTCATAGTTCTCCATCTACCCGACGGTGCGTTGCATGCCCGTGATTTTGGAGGCTTGTTCGAAGGCATTCCGTTTTGATGGGTGAACTGGGTGGCTAGGAGTCCAGCATCGGAGTGAAGCCCCTTTCGACGCCTCACTCATGAAGAGGGTGGAGCACCGAAGCCTAAGATGAGAATTGGAGCAGCGAGCACAGGTGAAGAGATTGCGCTCGCAGAGTTGACGGACATCTTCATCGGGGCCTACGGATCTGCGAATCATGGCTGGGATGTTGACTGGTTACATTAGGCAACGCAACGCTTGCATGCATGTCCGCTGCAACCAGTCTCCACTTTCTTTTTCGTCGGCAAGCCTGTTTTGTGATCCAGCAGGGGTGTGAGCAGAAGAATTAATAGAAGAAGTCGTAGGAGAAGCGGTGCCTGGAAACAGCTACACAGTAGAAGTAGCCTTCGAAAAACAGTGGTAGCCGCAGCTCTATTGCAGCAGCTGCAGCTGCAGCTAAGCACTGTCGCACTGGCAGTAGCGGTAGCAGCAGAACTAGCACTTGCACTACCCGCTAGCAGTCGCAGCCGCAGCCGCAGTACAGTAGTCAGTAGTGGTAGCCGTCATCGTCGTAGTAGTGGTTTATTGTGTTAGTAGGAGCAGCAGCTGCTGGAGCAGTCGCATCGCCGTAGCAGTAACTAGTACTATCGTACTAGTACTTTTTAGTAGCACTGGTACCAGTACTGATGGCAGTAGTCGTCGTTGTTGCATTGGTAATTATTCACGGTTGTCATCAGTTGTCATGCTGGTAGTGGTGCTGGTTGTGACAGTGGCTGTCCTAAAAAACGGAAGTACAGACAACTAGACTACACCGGTCTCTGGGGCAAAAGGAGAAGTTGTAATGCAAGACGTACCTGCAAGAAGAAGCAACACTAACGTGTTCCACCAACTCAGCAACCCAGGATGTGGTGGCCAGTGTTCATGGCTGCTGGCTCCTGTGTCATGTGGCTGTACCCACCGAATGTGTATCCCGGTCGCAGCACATGCGCTTGAAGCAATGCATTTGCATGCAGGGCAGCTGTGCCGACAGTACCCATTGAATTGAAGTACTCCCTGTGGTCACGCGATCTTCGCACACGGTCAACTTGAAGTGCAACAGGTTTTGTCAAGGAGTCCACGTGCGCAAACGGGGGTTGAACAGTAGTTTTAGTGGGTTTTAGTGCCAATCAACTTCCGAACCTGAAGGCTCCAAGAGCACAACCTGGCTAAGGCCGTTGGGCACGGGCTTCACGCAGAAGGCAGCCGCCCCAGAGATCGGAAGGGATGACGAGGTTGAGGGAGCGACCTCACAAACACAGTACTATAACTGCTGTCAGGCTGCCCCCGCTCTGTGTTCCTTTGGCAGATCCGTCAAAGTGGGTTCCAGTGTGGGATTTGCCGACCCTTCGTCCCCATCGTGCGCACACGGAGCCCCGTACGTTCCAAGTTTCCTTTTGGTTTTTCACGAACCACTGCCAGTGGCAAAAGATTGAAACGTTCAAGAGCCTACGCATTATTGCGCCGTCGTCTCTACATATCTCTACATATCCATGTCGAGCCATGCACGTAGCACAAGCACTTTGCGGTCTCGATGTTCAGTTTCGTAAATCGGGTAGTCTGCGACTCTGACTGCTAGACGTGCGTAGATTGTATTTATAGACGGATGCAGGTCCACATCTACATGTAGCAAAGCTTGTGCGATGTGTTTTCGTGTTTTCAATAACAACCTTAGGCCTGTAGTGATAGTGTCAGCTATGTAAATGTACGTATGAGCCTATCCTACTCTGTCCGGAGCCCAGAACCCAAAACCTTCAATCGTGCAAGTTGCTCAAACGCCCCTCAGTGTTCTTTGTAGCTTCCTGCAAGTGCCTTGTCAGCTCGCAAACCATGGCAAAGGTTGCAGACCCTGTTGGCTGGAACACGGCCAAGGATTGGGCCTGGATGCTGTCCCTGGCGTCCATCGTGATGACTGCGTTTCTTGCCGCAGTGGTTCCCAAGGGCATGCGAGCTGTCATTGCGATTCCCAGTGCTGCGGCCGCCGTGATCTGGTGGTCTCGCTGGCGCGTGGTCAAGCCAGATGAGTGGCTTCTCGTCTTGAGGGACGGCCAGCTCATTGGCCAGGGCATTGGCCTCCGAGCCTTTCGAGGATGGCGGGACTCCATCGCCACATTCCCGGCAACGATCCAGAAAGTCCGCTTCACCGCCCAACAAGTGGACTGTAAAATGCAAGGACTGGAAGTCTCCGGCTATCTCAGCTGGGCCGTGAACCGAGATGGCGAGGGCCCCTGGAATGCCTATAAGTACATGGCCATGCGCGATCTGGATGGTGACGGAACGGTGGATTCAGATGCAGGCTCTTTGCATATCGCCGAGATGGCGAAAGCCGTCGTGCGGAGCCAGGTTGCCAACAGCTCGCTCCAAGAGGTCTTGACGCAGCGGGAGACATTCCGCTCACAGGTCAAGTCGAAAGTCATGGAGCAAGTGCAAGGTTGGGGCGTCTGGGTAGAGGCCATTGAGATCGCAGATGTCCGCATTTGCTCTAACAAGCTCTTTCAGGATCTTCAGGCAGCCCACCGGCATGAGGTGAGGCTGCAAGCCGAGGAGGCTCGCCTGGATACGGATCGCCTGCTTTCAGAGCGCAAGTTGCAGGACGAGGTGACCTCTTGTTAAAGGATTTATTCTAAGATACCATACTATAGTAAAAATACTATGGTTTTCAAGGTTTCTTATTAGTAATGCACGGTATCTTAAATTTTATGGTTTCCTTATTAGTAATGCGTGGTATCTTAACTTGTCATTCTTAGCAACAGCCGAGGTGAAGCTCTCAAAAGCCCGGGCAGAGGCGGAGGCCGAACAGCGTCTTGCAGCCGCACCTTAGGGGTACTTAGAAATGATTTTTAATTTTTGGTTATTATAATCACTAAGAATACA